CAATTAATTTGATGAACTTTTTTTATTTTAGTTTTTCAACCGGGTATTATCTTTCTATATTGCTATGAATATTAAATTATTAATTGATTGGCCGAGTTACGTTTGAGCAATCTTCTATGGTTTGTTTTGGGGGTGTTTAGCGTCGATTTTTATTTTTATTTTATTTAGGGTTTTTTAACTGGATAAAAGGAATTATATGAATTTGGCAGGTAAAACTCAGCGTAAGAATATGGCGATGTTAGATAGTGACGATGATAGTTGTAATAGTATAAGTTCATCTTCGACCATGCGATCGGATCGAATGTCGGTTTCTGGTACTGAAGAAGTAGAACTTAATAAGGATAGTTTACTTGATGAAGCTGTGGATGCTTTATACGAAAAGAGGTCAGATACTGTTATTTGATATTTTTCTTTATTTATGTTTTGGATGAAATTTTGATGCATTCCTAAAATATCATTGTTAATGTGATTAGGGAAGAATTTTTTGGTTGGTTAGCTATGTTTTGTAGATTTCTCAAAATTTTGTGAATTATTATGCTTTTGAGTTGGATGTTGCTCAATTGGTGTTTTTCGCCTATTTTTTTGAAGGGGTTCTACCCGAGAGAAGGCATTGTCCTCAATTATTGAGGCTTTCAACAGTGACTTGCAGCGTCAGTTTGTGGAGAAGAAGTAAGTTGATCTTTTCTAAGTGTTTCTTAATCATGATTTTGATTTATTTTATTGCAAGAATTGCCCAATGTATTAGGATCATGGCTCCATGAGATTTCATGGAGTTGTGATTGGGTGGCTAAAATTCATTAATTGGATAAAACATTGGGGCGCTGAAAATTGGGAATATCACTCTTTTGGCAGGATTTATTTGTTAATCATACTTCAGATTGCATACATAGCATTAGATTGTTATTTTCTATTGCCAAGCACATTTGTGGCTGTGGGTGAAAATGATTCTTATGATTTAAAACATATGGTTTGAGTACTTGGATCTACGTGCTTCTGATGTTCGTATTATCTTTGGCTGTTCAGGTTTGCTACATTACTGCACCAGTGTCTGAATTCTATCAAAAAGGGGTCCAGCAAAGAGATATCTTTAGCTTCCCATGTCATTGGTTAGTTTTGAAAGCTTTTGCAAATTCTAGTGCACACATGCATGGAAGAGACCACAAGGCTTCAGTATTCAAGCTGATAAATTTCTTTTTGCAGGTTTGTTGGCTTTAACTGTTGGTCCTGGAGATAATGCACGGGAAATATTGGAGGAATCAATTACTCCTATTTCACAGGCCTCTAAATCTGGTTCTGAATCTTCTAAGATAGCTTCGGTATGCAAGAAGTTTAATTGAATTTGTTCTATCTCTAATATCTTTTGTACTATGATTCTCAATCAGTTGTTTCTCATTACCTGGTTACCTGTTATAGTTACTGGAGTGCTTGGCTATCATCACTTTTGTTGGGGGGGTCGATCCAGAGGAAACAGAAAAATCAATGCAAATTATGTGGCAAACAGTTCATCCTAAACTAGGCTCTAATGCAAGTATCCTGATTTTCATTAATTAAAAAAAACCATCCAATAGTGTATTGAGGTTCAGTGAATTGGTTATTGCGTCTATCTTGTCAATATCAAAGCATGATTATGTGTTTATGCTTCATTATTTGCTTTATTTGAGAATTGATTGTTTCTGCTCGACTTGTAGGTTGTTACTGTCAAACCTTCTTCTGCTGTAATAACAGCAGTTGTATCTGCCTGGTCGTTCCTTTTGACAACCATGGATGGCTGGAGACTCAGTCCCAAACTCTGGCAAGAGTGAGTGAACTCTATGGATCATATGTTGTTCCAGGGGCGGATGCACTTGGCCCCATAGGGGTCCCAGTGCATCCATTATTTTGGATAAGTTCTTAAATATAGTTCATATATCAAGGGGAGAAGAAAAATAAAAATTTTGCTTACCCATTTTATTAAAAAAAGAGTATTAAAATTCTTGGACCCCAAATTTCTGGATCCACTGCTTTGGTGTTCTTTTTTCTTTTTTGGTTGTAGTCTTAAATTCTCTTCATATATATTTTGGTTATTGAACGTACTGTTGGGTTTAAATCTCAGAAAAGGATGTTAAAAAACCTTGTGATACTTTGATGCTTCCACCATATAATGGGCTGAGACTGATCAATCGTGGTAAATTATGCAGATCCATAGCATATTTGTCCACTCTGCTAGATAAGGATGACCGATTGGTTCGCATTGCTGCTGGAGAAGCATTGGCAGTAATTTTTGAGATGGGAAGCTTGGAGAAGTTTGCTGCTGAAGCTAAAGGTTCCAATGATGGCTCAATATCCGAAGGAAATAAATCTAAAGAAGGATTCTCACATATACAAGGACTGAGGGGGAAAATTCTGAATCAAGTCAGAGGCCTCTCTGTGGAAGCTGGTGGGAAAGGTTCCGCCAAGAAAGATCTGAACAACCAGAGGAATTTGTTTAAGGATGTTTTGGAGTTCCTTGAGGTACTAATATTGTTGTCTTTCATTTTCATGACTTACAATTCTTGGACATCTCATGTTAATGTTTATTATCTCGGTAATGTTAGGATGGTTATTGTCCTGAGACATCATTGAAAATTGGTGGGGATTCACTGCAGACATCAACATGGTCTCAGTTGATTCAGGTTTCTTTTCCTCTTCTAATTCTCTAGTTTCCTGAGTTATGTGCCATGAATTTTCAAAGTAATTTATAAAATTTCAATGCGACAGCTGAACTTTTTGAAGCACTTTCTTGGTGGAGGTTTCACTAAACACATGCAGGTCGGCCTTGTTTTGTGAAGCTGACACTTGTTGATACAGTATGCTCGTGTTTTATTTTCTGGTTGATTAAGATTGGCATATCTTGTTTCACTTGTGCAGGAAAATGAATTTCTTCAAGATGTTTTTGGTTTTACACCAAAAAGAAGGAATCTTCTAGGCAGTGAGCATATATCCAACGGTCAAAAGGTTGGTTGTAACCATGTAGAGCGTTTTGTCTTTCAATTATTTCATAATATTTTGATTATTGTTGTAAGATTTAGGTCTATAATTTATTACGCCATCATACCTCTTAAAGCTTGTTATCCCGTCACTAGATTCTAGGTTGATATATGCATGTCTCGAATTACCCAAAGATATGAAATCAATATTGATTTATTCGGATTCTATGGTACAGAGAATGTACAAATCACCAAATTCAGTGATCAGCAAAGCAAGAACCCAGATGTTGAACAAGCAGCGGATGCAATCCAAGGTAAACATTTCAGGGGACAACCAAATGTAACCAGTAGTAAAATTGCCTGCCTGGTTAATGTTTGTTTTCTCTTTGTTGTATTCAGGATAGAAACTTTGGGCACTTTTCTGTCAATGCTGGTGATGAAGATTCATAAACCGATTGAAATTCTTAACTCCTGATCTGGAGGTACCATTTTGGTTTAAATTTTTGATGGCTCATAAATATACAATTGTGTAACGTTGATTATACTCATTCTGTGCTTTATACACAGATTATTTGAGTTGAAATTCATATGATGAATTGATCAGAGCCTTATTCATGGCCTGTAATGAACTAATGATGTTTCTCTGAAAGCTATAAACATGGCAAATAACAACACAATCTCTTTGCATTAACAAACCAATCAGCCTTCCAATGATAGCCATAGGAAAACTGGGATGAATATCATCAGATGCCCTACTTATCACAGCTTCAATAAAAGGAGACCTCAAATCACTGAATGTGGCTCTTTTATTGAACTTGCAATTTCTTTGTAGTCGGAATAATTTTGGTTGATCTAAAACAGGAATACCAATGATCTTGAATGTGAAATAAGAATAATTTTGGGATCAACTTGAGTTTGAATTATTTCAAATTAAAACTAATATGAATTTATGTTGATCTTTTAAGATCGGATCAGTTCAAATTTTCGCCGCTGAATTCTTTGAGCTTTCTGCTTAATAAGCAAGCCGATCAAGTGAATTTCACGGGTTCATGACAGATTGATACTATGTATCAAGTATAGAAATTCCCAGCAACCACAGAGATTATCTGTACCTCTCAACAAACAAGGCAACACTATAACGAAATAAGCCTCAAATCTTAGTTTGGTTACAATTAGGTCTTCTTTTTCTTTCTTAAAGTTATAATTTAGCTGTTTAATTAAGCTATTATTGCATAGATAGAATTTGTATGATAATAATTTTAATCCTCAAATTTTACACATTTTATCAATTTGTTCTTAAATCTAAAATGTTTAGTAAATCTAACCCTTTATATTTAAAAATATTATCAATTTAATATTTATTCTTCTCCTAGAAGTATTATTTTAATTTGTTCTTAGTTTTTAATATAAATAACAGTTTAATAATAATTTGTTGTTGCTTTATAGTAGAAGCTAATTATTTAATTATTACTTTGATTAGTTAGTCTTGTTTAGTTTGAAAATACCGTAAAAATGATTAAGTTGATGTAATTTTAAATATCTATGTTTAATTTATTGAATTGTTTTTAATTATGATTAAATTAATAGAATATATAAATTATGATTAAATTATTAAAAAGTCTAGTAGTGCACACGTTTTTTTATAATTGTTATCCATTTTATAATAATAAAATATTAATTTATTAAATATATAAAAATCATGGAATGACATGTGCCATGATTTATAAAATAATAATATAATTCATGGTTTTTAATTTTATAATTTGAGTGAAGGTCAAAGTAAGGTTTAAACCCAAATATGTGATAAAATGTAAAACAAATAATTGGATACATATACTTTTTAATATTCTTGGGTGAAGGTAATATTTTTTAATTATTAATAATATACAATTTTTATAAATATTAACCGATTTTGATGGAATTTGATGGAGAGCTTATTAACAGATTTTGATAAGTTGAAGCGAGTGAAGTGAGAGTTTCCTTTTTCTTAGTCGCGTATGTTTGTGGGGAGTGGTCAAACTCAATTTGCCACCGCGTTTGAATTTTGACGGCTTTTGTAGTTGACTTGGAAGCCACCGTAATCTTATGGCCGCCAACGATGACCGCTCAACGTCAACGACCACCTCTTCCACATCCAGCGGTAGATCCCACCGGTGTTCCATCTGCCACAGAAGCTTCCCTACGGGGCAGGCCTTGGGTGGCCATAAGCGACTCCACTATGAAGGTGGCAAAGCTAACAGCGGGACCACATCTAAGAAACTAGGCTCCAGCAGTAGTACCAGCCAGAGGGGCTTCGACCTGAACCTGCCGCCTCTGCCGGAATTCTCGAGGACCAACTTCTTTGCTTCCGACGGTGATGATGAAGTGGAAAGCCCACACCCTTTGAAGAAGCCACGTCTCGTGATACGGATTCCACACAAAATGGAAGTCAACTAAACAAATACTGGAAATTTTTTCGAGGAAATTACACTACTCATTCCCTCTTTTTGATTTGTTGAACCAATATTCTTTACCCTGTATATAGCATTTGAAGAATTCCCCAACTCTCTCAATTGCTATCGTTCAATTAATTTTGTTTTAGTTCAAATATTATTTCATGGTTTCCAGCTAATTGGGAATCTTCATTCAATCAAGTTTGTTACATCTGTTACCATTACTATATCCAAGGTTTAATTATGAGAGAAGATGTGCATCATTCATTTTATGAAAAATGAAAGCAACCAAATACAAAGGCTTATATATACCAAGAATCATTGTCCAACATCATTTATATATATATATATATATGTACACACTTTTCTTTGACTGGCCTATGCAAAATAAGAACCGAAGGTACCTAACCCAAGGATAGTTCCTTTCAAACTACATTTTAACGTTTCAATACAAAGTCCATAATATCATATCTTCATGCTTGTGAAATTCAATCAACTATGGAAACCTTTCTTCTTACCTTTGGAATCATAATTTGGGTTGGTATTGAATTTAAATCAGACAATTTTGTTGTCAAAGGTGGGAGATAACTGGTTTAGTTGTAAAATGAGCGTTCTAAGGCTACATTCCTTCACCTGGTAATTACATAACCCATAAGTTTTGAAACGAGTTTTATGTACCCCCAATAAAACACACCAGAATAGAAATTTACCCGCATGGCTGCAATTGTTGGCAATACTTGTTTGCATCGATAGAGTAAAGCAAGCTCGTTTGTGCTTAAATTTCTAACTTCTGACACCATGGTGTTAACTTCTGCAACCTAACCACAGAAGAAAAGACAGAAATTACATGCAAGCATAGAGAACCGATGAAAATCGATAAAAGCTGCTTTAAAGGGAAGATCTATTGTAATTAACTCATCTCAAATTCAAATGAACAAATCCAAGAAGTGCAATTTGATCAACCTATATCACGTTTACTACTGGTACAACTCTGTGCAAACAAGCCGTTAAAAGCTAACACCATATCAATTTCATCAGCTGCTGTAGTTAAATGATTTTACAAACATAAAATTTTATGTTACTAGGCGAACTTATAAAATTTTAGCGGCCGAAAACAGATTATCAATAAAAAATAAAACGAAAATATTTAAAATATATATGAATTTGAAATTTTCAACAGTACGACAGCCGCTCAGTCCATCACTGTGTCAGACAAGCTCTAAGGTTTATGTTCATACGATACTTGAAATTGTGGGTATGTACGGTGATGAAAAATATTCTATGCAGAGCACGAAAAGGGTAACAACCATAAGACAAATGTTGATCTATTTGTTGATAAAGGCTACAAAATTAAGAAAACATGGAAACAAACTATCCAAATAATAATCTGGTTCCTGTCGTATGGATGATTATTTTCATTCCACCTGGTTAACAAAGTCAACCAAATGCCCGCTTATCATTCAGAAAGATTAGGTGTCAAAGTAAGAACAAAAGAATTAAACCAAGGCCTTTTATACAAAGGATAAAAAAATAAGAACGCCCACCGTGGGGCTCGAACCCACGACCACAAGGTTAAGAGCCTTGCGCTCTACCGACTGAGCTAGACGGGCTTGGTTGTTGAACTTCTAGGCATAACTATTGTTTATCATTTTATAAATTAATCCGAGCCAAAGACCCTACCTACCCAATCCCCATTATTCATAAGTAGACGCAAAATCTAACATGTTTCAACACATATAAGAAACCTATCAAAGGTTTAATTATGAGAGAAGATGTGCATCAAAAGCTAAACCCATCATCATTCATTATATGAAAATGAAAGCAACCAAATACAAAGCTTATATACTAAGAATCCTTGACTAAATTCGAAACACCGTTTATACATATTTACACACTTTCCTTTGACTGGCCTATACAAAATAAAACTAGAAAGGAAAGGTACCTAACCTAATTTCACTTCCTTTCAAACTACACCTTCAGAAAGACATTTATCAGTAACGAAAGAAAATCTTATACATGGCCAAACCGTTTTAATTATAGAGAGCATGATACCCACAAGAATAAAAAGGATTAATCAACCTTTAGGTGTTGCCAAAGAATGTGTCTGCACTATCTTATTATTAAATTAACTTTTGTCTAAACTACTGCTTAGGAAAAAATGAGTCTGCAAATAAAAGGGGACCAAAGGAAACTCCGAAGTTTGGGCATTAAAGAATGAAGGGTAAGGGGAGGAAAAAGGGATGAGGTCAACAAAAGAAAGATTTACCTTTGATAATAATGACCATATGGAGGATGCTATTGCCTGCATTACATTAACTGCTGAAAATATTGCTTCCTTCAATTTTGGGATATCAGCCTGTACAAATAAGACGACAAGCAAGTTTTCTCCCCTTCTTTTTAAGACCCACATAAAGTAAAGCATTGACAGCGGAGATGCTAAAGCTTAAAGGAAATGATCAAATTTCAGAATAAGGAACTTACTCTTGCCCCACAAACTACTGGAAGGCGGAGTGTGCTTGCCGTCAGAGCTTCGATAGCCCCAGACAAATAACTGCAATAATCATGGTCCAGGACAGCCATTCATCCAAAAAGATCATCTGCACTTATCAATGAAATAATATGCTATAAATAAAAAAGCACACAATTTCTTGAACTGAAACATGCAATCCAAATAAGATATGGCAGACAATGAAAAACTAGTAACAATTGAGTTAAGATCAACAAAATAATCAGAAATCTTAAAACAAACAAAGAAAAAAATCAAGCCAACAGTAAACACATCTAGTAGGGAGCTATCGTTCTTACTTGCCCCTTGAGGATGGAAATCAGCTTCAAATTTTGCCTCAGCAATTGTAATTCATTTCTTTTGGCTCTAACAGATTCTAGCAGTTTTGAGGTAGTAGTCCAAGCATTATGGAGGCTTTTCTGTAATAGGAACATGTTTAAAGAATTCATCCTCATTTTTACTAATTTCAAGGAAGATAATCATTTTCAAAAAAAAAAATCAAGGAAGATAATCGAAAAACTTGAATTGTTAGTAAACCGAGAAACAAGAGATGGTTAAAAAGAGATAGATGTACATGTATTATTGATGACTTTTCTGTTATACGAACATGATGACAAAGGATTCTTCATCATATTTTAACACGATCAAACTCGTTTTAAGCCACAAAACAACCCTGCTGCTTGCACGCTACAGAATTTCTACACCACAAAAGTAATTATAACCAAAAAGCCAGAATGCCAAGCGCTCTAGCAGAAGTGGCCTGAATAGTTTCAGTTCTAACAAGAAAACACTTTTTTTCCCACAGCACATAATTCAACTCAGTTTTGTTGGCCAGGTTCTAGAGTTTTTTAATGAAAATTTTCAAATTCCAGGCAGTATGGGCAAGATAAATTGTGACAAGCCAGGCAACTTTCTCACAATTTAACATAACATGAAACCATGATACTATATAATAATAAAAGTAAATCTTAACCATAATCCTCAAAAGGTGATGGAATGCAACATTAACAGCTACGAGTTGTGCTGCCAAATTACACTAAGAGGGAATACCTATGAATGTTGAAACAGTACAGCATGCAAACTTGAAGCATACAAACAACAAGGTAGCAATAGGACAAAGCGAGCTACTTAGTTGAATACAACAAGAGAGAAATTCGAAGTCAATACCTCTGTGTTAGACCTTTTGGAAGACAGAGTCGCATCTGCTCTAGCATTAACAAAACGCCACTGCAACAAATGGTTATGGAGTAACCTCAATAAATGAGCATCCGAAACTTTGTTCTCTCCAATCTTAATAGCATCACCACTAAGCTCAAAATCGATGGCCTATTTACCAAATTATCACCCAACCCAAGCTTACTCGGTGATGCAGGCCGAACTGGCCAATGAATTGACCATAATTGGCCTCTGCTGTTCGATACACCTTTTGGAGACGACAAAGGACTGTCAGTTCCGTACTTGTCTCGTACAATTTGCTTAGAACGTGCTGTATTTTTCTTAGGAACCGGATAACCAGGATCGGACCGGCATAAACGATTAGCAGTATCTTGCCAGGACCGAGCCGAAACCATTATTCCCCGAGGCCCACGCTTAACATCACCGTCTACGGAAGAACTTTCTGGAGCTCCTGGAGTACTACCAGAAGAAACACTTCCGGTATCAGAAGCCGCGAGATCATATTGAGGCTTAGATTTAACGGGAGTAACGGCTGTTATTTCTCTATTATCAGTCATGGAGAGCTGCAGTGCCCTAACTACATTGCCGTTAACAGAACGGTTAAAACTCTTCCTCTCGTCGGTGCAATCAACGCTTCCACTAGTAACCGAATTTGATAGCCTTAACTTTGCCGGCCACCGCTCCGCTTGCTCTGTTCCTTTCCGTGGAGTCGTTGCTACCGTTGTCTTCCACTCTCCGGCGTCCCTTTCGTTGCCGCGCTTGGTGATGGAGCTGGTTTAGCTTTCCTACACTTATAGGAAAACGGCTCACCATGAGACGAAACGGATAAATCACATTTGTTACTGTTGTCACCGTTACTAGTTTTCAAATCCAAAGAATTACTAGGCAGCGGCGTCACCGCATGTCTCCTCTCCACTGCTTGCGACCGCTTGCTAGCCAATGGAGTCGTGCGTTTTGTCGTGGTCATGGCCTTCGAATGAGAAGTCCTCGTCGAAAATAACGTCAGAGGACAGATTTTGGTGGGAGGCGAGGAAGAATTTGATGAGGACGTTGACATATAACGAGAGGTGAACTTTCCGGATTTTTTACGACAAGGAGTGATGGCATTGTCGGGGTCGGAGGTCAACAGCGGAGGCCGCGGCGCGTTTTGGTTTAGCGGAAGCCCTCCTCCGAGCTGTTTGGGTTTTACCGCTGCGGAAACGGCAGCAGCAACCATTGCCGGCTTCTCAGAAAATTCAATTCCACAGTCTGATTCTTTAATCTCACTCTCCTCCCAATTCCTCCAAAAATTTACTTCCAATTATATATTTATTTTTTTTTTAAAATGAAAAATCAGAACTCAGACAGTTTAGGATTTATGTTTTAAAAACATTGGAATTGAAAATATTTTTTTCTTTATAAAGTTGGA